AACGATTCCTGAGACCTCGCTAGCCTGCAGCTGCAAAGTGTAATATTACAAACGCTATTCGGCATCTTTTACTCATAAGATATATATATTTGCTTCACGTAACAGTGACACTATGGCGCCACTATTACGTGCCACAGGGATATAAGTATCAGTTGTTTATAAGCTGCTTACTCCAAGTCTTGCTCTTAACAATTCAATTTAAGCACTAAATTAAATTGAACGACTTCAGTATGTTAGTTTGACTCAACACCCCAGCAACACTCTACAGCCATTCTGGAATTAAATTGTCAGACCTTGAAGACTAGCAACTGATGTGTCCCATTTAATTTCAGTCCCACCTGTTTTTACTGGACCTTCCTAATGGCACATTCTGCATAGGAAAATTATCAGACAAATGTTTATCTATATGAATTTTACTGTATGTTTCATTTAAACACATTTAATCAGCCTAACTAGTTTCATGGGTTCTCCAAACTCTATAAGAATATTGTACAATACTTCCCTCCTAACTGAATCATAGGCTTTATTGAACTCTACGAATAGGAGCTGTACTGTCTCATTGTACTCCCATTGTTTGTCCAGTATCTGACGAATGCAAAAAAAATCTGATCAACAGTTGATCTGCTACATTGAAACACACTGACGATCCCCCATAATTTCACCTATATATATGGACTTACCCTTGAGAGATGGATATTGGATAAAATTTTGTAACAAGTTTACAGCATCATTTGATAAACTAGGGTTCCTTTTCCAGTCCTGCACAAATTCAGGTTGCTACGTCACCTACAATTTTCATGATATGGCCTAATACAGTAAAACCTGCCTTAAACGGACCCTTTATTAAATGGAAATCTGTCTTAAACGGAAATATTTTCAGGTCCCTTGGCTTTGGGGCTGAAAAAGATGTTACATAACCTGGATTAAACAGAAACTGTCTAACGCGGACAACAGAAATGAAAATAAGCCTTTATACGGAAAATTTCCAGTCTTCCAGAATGCATCATTTAGAATCATTTTAGGCATCCTATACATTCTACAGAAATTTCTTTCCCCTAACCAATTTACAGGAATGTATGTGAGATGTAGGGGTATGCTGAATGAATAAGTTTGGAAATGCTGATACTATGTATTTATGCAGCATGGCTAATTTCATAAAACTGCTCCCCACTACATGACAGCTTACAGATTGCCATAAATTCTGTTCTACATATGCTTCACGACTCATTTCATCAAAATGAAATGAAAATAAAGAAAGTACTGTTTCCTGTGTTTTGACACATTTATTGCTTCCATTTTAAGAGTAATTAATTGCATTAAAAACAAAAAATTATTATAAAACTAAGGCAACATTTGTTCAAGGTTGTAGGTCTTGGGAGAGTAACATGACGTCCACTACATTTCTTTCTTCATTCTTCAAACATCAGACATTAGGGGATAAAGTTCTTGGATTTGCTAAACCTTTTGCCACACCATCTAAACTCACTGTATTATGATATAGTTAGACCAGTTAATTTAATCCTTTGCAACAAGAAGCCCATCCTAATAACATTTAAAAATTCAATTTCTATCAGAAAACATACTGCCTCCATATCAAGGACCACTCAGTTATTTTACTGTTTCCTAGATTACAAGGTGCAAGGTACATTCAATTTTGCTATGTTGTGCTATGCTGGTAGGCTCTGAGGGTTAAGTATTGCAGGAAACAACACATTAGGCTCAGTAAGAGCACTGTAACACAGTTTTTCTCCATTGCAGAACATACACAGGATGTCACTTCAGGTACTTCTAGAATCAACTGGCCAGTATGGTTCTGCTCTCTGTGATCCACAATGCATGTAACTGCTCCACTGTCGCTTACTAGTTTAAGTATAATTAGAATAATCAGTAACAAAAATTAATTGCAGGTAACAAGTAATACCCAAGCCAGTGGGGACACAGTCACATTCTTGTTTTCTGGAATGGGCTTATTCCAAATCTTGATGTTACACAGGAAGCACCCCCTGTGGCTTTTTCTGAGAACTTTTGTTTGCGAGTAGCACGGCTGCAAACTTTGAGAATTTGATCACTGACAGGTCCTGCACGTCGTAACTTAAAAGTAGGCGGTTTTGAAACCCATGCCAAGCAGGTTATCTGTCAGCGTACTATCAAAAACGATGTTAGGACTTAAGGTTCAAAGTCCCAATTTGCAGCAAGCTGAATGGAGATCCAGAAATTGTGTGAACCCCTAGTTCTCAAAATTACCCAATCTGTGGAATTAAGGGGGAGTGACTTAGCAGAGGAACAGACGGCCAGGGTATCTCAGTGTTTTCAGACAGGGAGTCACACGTCAGTTGCCAAGGCAGTCGCCAAGTGAGTGGCCTGCTACTCGTGAACAATTTAGAAACAAAATCTATATTTTTTGCTGTTCTGGCGAACACCAAATTCAGAGTGCTAAAGCGTAAATTGTGCTAATAACGTCCGTTATACCAGGACTGAGCTACATAAGGACTTATATATAAGCATCCTTTGTATTCAGAGATATTGCGTTTTCAGACTTCATCCATCATCCTGGTTTTTAAGATAACTAAGAAAAACACGACATTTCGGAAACTGGATCTGTTTCCATCCTCAGGTGAGGGAAAACACCTATTCTGTTGGGTTCCTTAGAAAGAGCTAGCCTCAATCACTGGACCAACAGAATAGGTGTTTTCCCTCACCTGAGGACGGAAACAGATCCAGTTTCTGAAACGTCGTGTTTTTCTTAGTTACCTTAAAAACAAGGACGATGGATAAAGTCCGAAAACCCATGTTATACACCATCGTCAGAATCCTATAGTAATCCTTTGTATTGACTGTGTGTGTCATCAGGTGAATGAAAGTGTTGATCTCAATAAATGTTCAAGGTGTTTAAGTGTAAAGTAGCATTGAACCAATTACTTCCCTCCCCATCCTAAGCGAGGCCCTAGCAAACGCTCTGAGAAGGATCCCAGCTTTACCCACAGCTGAACTAGTTGACTATCACCTTTACCCCCTTCCCAAAATAAATCTCCGACTAGTGTAAGCCAGCACCACCTGAGCATACTGGCACCCAACCTAAGAAGAAGAAAAGAGGAGTGACGAATGTGTGACTAACCAACCAACAAGGGGGGAGTGAAGGTGAGTGAAGAACGGTTACAGTTTGGGCCACTTCACACACTAGTCTGATAGAAGTACTGCAGTTTATTAGAACTAACATTAAAGTCATACGATTTTAAGTCAAGGTTTTTCTTTTATCCAAATGGCTATCTAACTAATATTCTTTGTAACATATAAAATCCATGCCACAAAGCCATAATGGAGGAAGGTAAGCAAAAGCATTTCACACTTCAGTGTCTACAGTAAAACTGAAAATTGTGCATGTCAAAATATTATACAGGATATTTATAGTTCTAGAACCTTCAGGCTGACATGAATTTCTAGGTAAGATAAATTCCATGACACATGTTAAGCACAATAGATCACTGAAGGTCGCAATGAAAGGGCCGGATTATTATGGCCCACCCATCATACATACACATTCATGTTCAAATTAAATGATCAATTTCACACTGTTCAGTTTGTCATTTGGGGCAATTAAGTCATCAACTGTCGCGACATAAAAACTGGGTAGTTTTTAATGGCAGCCATAAGCAAGGGACTACATACGTATACAGAATATATTTTCCATACGTTACGTTTATGGTGGCTGGATCCACATACAAACCTTCCCGTTACGTTGCGTCTACAACAGCATGAAGTCTTGTAGAAGGTAAAATTATGTCTCATTTAAATTCCAGAGTTATCACGTTAGATTAAACGGTGCATGCACATTCAGGGGCCCTTATATGGCTTCCACACCAATTTAATCAATTTGCAGGTATATTACTTCCTTCCCAACAGGGGCGGCCCGCGTATAGGCACTGCGGAACTGCAGCACCCCCAATTTCCACTTGATATTATCGATAACATTTATATAATGAGTCCTTTTTTCTTTAATTCTTTCTTTATACTTGTACAATACAATATATAATCCTTAAGCTTAATGTCAGTAGCCAAATCTTTGTATGGAACTGCGCGTTTCACAGCTCCAGCGGCGACGTGTTCGTTGACTGTGCACATGCACACATAGCAAGCTACACGTGAGGCTGCAAGGGAGAGGTAGCACTGCAGGAACGACAGTGCCAACCCTGGCATGCTGGTGGAAGGTAGTTTTTTTTACTCCGCATGTGTTGTGCTTAAAAAATATGAGTTAATTGTAGAATTAGATTATTATCCTGCTTCCAGCTATTCTATTTGATTCATTTTTTTTCGGTTCTTTTATTTAACAGAAAACTTTAACCATGGCCTTGCATCCCCGAGAAATAAGTTATGTGACTGTAAGTGAACTTCAACAGCTTAAGTTTTCACAACTGTCTCTCCATGAGAAAGTTGCAGTTAAGAAAAGAGGTCGTTTAACACCTGATATTCTAATATCTCAGCCAGGCATAAGCAAGAACAAGAAATATATTCGTAGCTTTAATTCTGAATGGCACAAACGGAAAAGTTGACTTTGCGGCTGTGAAGTAAAAAATGCACTGTTTTGCTTCCAGTGTTTGCTGTTTGGGGGTGATGTAACGTGGACAAAAGATGGTTTTAGAAATATAAACAAAATGAAAGAAAAAACTGAAAAGCATGAGAAGTCAAAGAAGCACGTTGATAATGTAGTTTCACTGTCACTTTCAGGAACCATAAGTATTCAGGAGAAACTTAGTGAGGCACACAGACTTTCAATCAATGGGCATAATATAAAGGTTAAAAAGAATGGATTTCATTTTTAAATCAATAGATTAAGCTTGAAATGTATTTCATTTTTAAATGAATAGAATAAGCTTGAACTGTAACAATTTAGGTTAAAGTAAGTAAAAAATGTTTGATTTAGTTCTTTTATCAAGTTTCTGAATAAATTTTCTTTTTATACATGTTTGTTTCCTTTTATACAATTTTAAAACAAAGGCTACAAATTTTCTGGAGCAGCACCCCCACTAATTTTAGCTACGAGCCGCCACTACTTCCCAAACCTCACTATATTAACACTAGCATGAAAATTGTTATTTACAACTACACCACCAGAATTTTGTTCAATTAAGAAAAAAATTAAAATATACCGAATAATCCAAATCCAAACCTTCAAGCACAAGCAGTTGCATTGCCTTATGGTCCTGACGTCACTACCAGTAATTACGCGTACCAAGCCACAGGGTGTTTCAATGCAACATACACTGTAGCAGTCTTTCAACGTTTGCACACCTACGATAAGCTATAAAATGTTCCTGTACGGTCACGGAACTATTCGCAAAAGTTTTCGTAAGCTGTAGCTTCGTGTTCCAAAACCACTCATATTAAATCTTACTGCCTTGCCAAAACTGTTCATGGTACAGTTATATTTTAAAAAATTCTTGAAAACTTGCTGACCACTTGGTGGTCATAACCCAGTTAAAAAATGGTTTTCAGTTTAAAATTACAATGCAAGAATCTTGATACAGTAATCACCATCTGTCAGTGAGTGTACTTATACTGATGACGATACCCCTTCTCTTCTTTAGCCAGTGAAACACTGGCAGCTCGCTGCACTTCATCCCACTGATTGAAATGTTATTGTTGGCAGGTTGCATGCCACATACTCTTCTAAAATATATTTGTGGGCACATCACCCTGAGTAGCCAACCTTGGAACAAATGATCAGAGTGGTCAATGATGTCTCCCATATGGCACTCCTTGGGGGCCATCATTTATGGATTGCAAAATATAACACCAACCTTCATGAAGTCAGGAACATATTGATATCTGTATGGGATGAAACCTCAAATATGTTTTGGACAGAGAATATCACCATTTGAGCAAGTCAGTCATGAGTTATTTGTATTACCAATTTATACAGATCTACCCACCTCTGTACATGAAAGATATTGATTAAAAATCTGTCTCCCTGCCATTTTACATGCTGTCACAATGCTTAGCCCATTAAATACATATGCAGACCACAGATCATAGAGTAAGGTCAAAAGTAAAATATGTCACATTCAGAAGCACAGCAGCACTCCCCATGCAGAAAGTACAACAGATTAAACTTGCAAACAATGATGCTGGGTTCAAATGTGATTATTTTTCTAATATATTCTTGCTGCATAATATTTGCATCTGGAGGCATCTATCTGATTTCAGTCTCAACTGGTAACTTACTGTCCTGATTGTGGTATTTTGTGGTTTTCTCACAATGAAAATATGAGTAGTGTCTTAAAACAGATAATGGCTATTTCTTCTACTAGCCCTGTCAGACCATAATCATCCTTAGAATCAATTTAACCTCTCAAGCTATTCAGTACTGTTATACATCCTGTAATTTATTCAGCAGAAACAGTAAGCCACTTGTATTATATCTACTTGCAATGTTTGACTGTCTTATGAATTCAGTTTTATTAAACAAGTTTTGCTGTATTCAGATACAGCTGGCCTATACACTCTGAAATTCAATAAAATACGTGCATTTCTTACCAGTCTTGTCCAGTGCTAACACTGATGCAGATGTGATCGGTACCTGTGTAAACGGAAAGGGAAGGTTTCATTTTTAATAAGGAAATATATACAAGCACATAATAAATTCTAACTGCTAAACACTAACCACTGCGTTGACACAAATATCATACTTTTTTAAAAAAAAAAAAAAAAAACTGCATTATGTCCACATGCAAGCATGTCTTAGTTTTGCTTTAAGTATGTTTTCTCTTAAGTATCATACTAGTAAGTGGCAAAATCATGTGTGTGATGAAAATGACATCCATATACAACAGGGAGAAATGGACAGGCAATAAAAATGTCACTGTCATCATTCAATGAACCTTCAACTTCCATACAGATCAAAATTTTGCATGCATTGGATCTGAATTCCAAACATTAAGAGTTCAAGAAGACAGCCTGGTTCAAGTGTCATCTATTCTGTGTTTAAAGATTCAGATAAAGGGTTGAGATGAATATTAATCATGGGAAGTAATTCCACAAGATCAAATCAGGCTATAATATGTTGATGACTCATAGTATGAGCATTGTACCAGAAAGTATAATGTACTAAGAAATTTATTAAAAATGTACTTTTGTAATTTAAACAAAATTTGTAAGCTGTCAAATTCAGACATATGGAGTACTTGAAGAAAGTCGTCTTCTGGGTTTAGGCACCCTGTATTCTTCGTTTTGGCCGACGTTTCGGAGGAACGTTGCGCCTCCATCTTCTGAGCAGTTGAATGGCTTGGAATGCGGAGAGCAGTAGCTGTGGTGATAGGATGTGAAAGGTGCTGCTTATATACGAAGTAGGCAGGGGGGGGTGGTTAGGGAGAACGGACCAATGGGAGCAGTGGGGAGCGATTAAGACCATATTTGGTGTGTGTTGATTAAGGGAGGGAGGGAGAAACGGCCAGAGAATCCAGGAACCTTGAGGTCAATAGCACTAGGAAGTACTGTAGACAAGAAGAACCGGTAGGTTGGGGACATGCTATTGACGTCAATGACATGACGAAGAACTGGTGTGGCTAGCTGGATTCTCTTGAGGGAAGAGATGCTACCATGTCTGTCGAGATTGTTGAGAGCGATAAAGGCCATATGATGTAGTGTGCTAAGTTAGGGGGGGGGAAGCGGCCAGGAATCCAGGAAACTTCAGGTCACTAGCACTAGGAAGTGCGGTAGACAAGAAGAACTGGCCGTTTCCCCCCCCCAACTTAGCACCCTACATCATATGGTCTTTATCGCTCTCAACAATCTAGACAGACATGGTAGCATCTCTTCCCTCAAGAGAATCCAACTAGCCACACCAGTTCTTCGTCATGTCATTGACGTCAATAGCATGTCCCCAACCTACCGGTTCTTCTTGTCTACAGTACTTCCTAGTGCTATTGACCTCAAGGTTCCTGGATTCTCTGGCCGTTTCTCCCCCCCTCCCTTAATCAACACACACCATATATGGTCTTAACCACCCCCCCCTGCCTACTTCGTATATAAGCAGCACCTTTCACATCCTATCACCACAGCTACTATTCCAAGCCATTCAACTGCTCTGAAGATGGAGGCGCTACGTTCCTCCGAAACGTCGGCCAAAACGAAGAATACACGGTGCCTAAACCCAGAAGACGACTTTCTTCATTGTCATCGCCGTGAAAACCTCAAAACTTACATATGGAGTACTTATTTACTTACTTATGGAGCTGAACCCTTGTTGAGGAGCCACCAAATCTGCAGCTACTCAAGAATTTCCCAGCATTTTATGGAACCCCTCCACTGGTCCCTATCCTGAGCCACATCTATCCAATCCATACTATCCCATCCTATCTCTCTAAGATCCATTTCAATACTGTCCACACACCTATGTGATGGTCTTCCTAGTGGTCTCTCTCCTTCTGGTTTTCCCACCAATAACCTATATGCATTCCTCTTACCCCCATTCATGCTACATGCCCTGCCCACCTCCTCTTACTTGACTTGATCATTCTAATTATACTTGGAGAAGAGTAGAAGTTATGAAGATCCTCACAATGCAGTTTTCTCCAACCTCCTGTCATTTCATCTCTCTTCGGTCCATATATTCTCCTCAACACCATTCTGAAACACCCTCAGTCTATGTTCCTCCCTTAATGTCAGAGACCAAGTTTCACACCCATACAGAACCACAGGCAAAAAGTATAGTTTTGTATATTCTGATTTTTATGTTTTTGGACATCAGACAAGAAGACAAAAGGTTCTGGACTGAATGGTAGCAAGCATTACCTGAGTTCAATTTCCTCTTAATTTCCTCCTCAATCAGGTTTTGATTTATCATCATCATTCCAAAATATCTGAAATGTGCCACATTTTCAAAACACCTATTTCCTACCTTTATGTCACGATTTTGCTCTGCATTTTGGTGATGAGACAGCAGCATATACTTAGTTTTCTCTGTGTTTACTTCTATTTCCCTTTCCATAGAAAATTGTGTATTAGCCTGCTGGTGTGATGCCACCTCCGTCCTTTCTGACCTCCTGTACTCCCGCTAAATCTAATTTATATTTTAAGATTTCATCTTCCACTGCCCTGAGCAAACAGAGAACTGTTTGAAAACATTTCCAGTAAACACACCTCACATAACTGTTTTAAGATGATGAAGTAACAAAATAGCAAACCTATTCAGGCTGAAAGACTATTGCTTTCTCCTCCTTGAATAACCATTTTGCTTCCATTAATTAAAAAGTGCTTCTACAGAATGAAATTAACTCCTTTTTGTTCAACATATGTCTTCAAGGTACATTTAAAACAAATGATCTTGTTAATGACTGTACAGAAGGATTTATTTTCAATACTTTTGGTTAAAATAATGACATATTAATACCAAAAGAAAATAATTTTATATTAACAAAATGCAATTTTTAATTTAGAGGTTCATAAATCATAAGAATAGTTTTTATGCACAGTCCATATTTATTTGATCATAACCAGATTATCTATGCTTTTACACATCCATAAAAAATATAATTAATATATGCTCTTTTGGCCGCCTTTATGGTCTAGTGGGGGCACGCGGTAGCGCAGTTGGTTGAGGCACTATGCTACAAGCCAGATGGTCACAGGATTGAATCCTGATGAGGTCACTGGATTGTTTTCAATTTATCTAATCCTCCCAGCCACACTATGGCCCTGGAATCGACTCAACCTCTTAACAGAAATGAGTACCATCTATGAGCCGATTGTCTAGAAAATGTGGGAACTTCAACATCTCACAACCCTGTGGGCCTCCATGGCCTGTTACAGGGATACCTTTACTTACTTTTACTTTACTGTTGTCTAGTGGTCAGAGTTCATGCCTACGCATCCAGAGATCTGGGTTCGATTCCTGGTGCTACCAGCTTTTCTGAGAAGCAGTGGGTCTGGAACGGGGTCTACTCTGTTTCGTGAGGATAACTGAGGAGCTATTTCAAGGAAATAGTGGCTCCGGTCTAGAAAACCGAAATTAATGGCCATAGGGGTTCATTGCAGCGACCACGTGACACTCTCTATCCACTAAAGTTGGCACTAACTTCGCCGACAAGCGGCAGTTGCTCGGTTGGTATAGTTCACTTGCGGACACAAGCCACGGAGTTGTTTTTTTTATTTATATGCTCTCTTAGTTGTAAAAATGAGCTACAGGAAAGAGTTTCAAAGTTTTAAGAAAGTTTATCAGTGGAACACTTGAAAACTATATTGTAAAATCCTATAAAATTTTACTGATGCAATTTGCACTCAACCTGCCACCCATTACAAAATAGCCCGTTTTCTGTACAACAGTGGAAAATATAAATGGATCAATAAAATTGTAAAGAATGAGGTTGTATTACAAAACTCCCATAACCACCTAAAAATATCATACATCATTCACAGCCATACTGAAATATGTAAAATATATGTGTTCTGTTCAAAAAGTTTCAGAACTTTTGAAATACCATGCCAACTCAATGACTTAGCATTGCCAGTAAGTTGTGCTGTCTAGTGGCATGCTTCATAATTATCATCTTTTTTTGCTGCATTACACTGCTGTGATTAGTCATCCCCCTAGAGCTATTTGTTCATGTGTAGGTAGAGTGTGTTTTGCGATATTTGAGATGGCTGATATTCATAAGCATGAAAATCATGTTGATGGTTTTTTTTTTACATCAAGGGTGTTGTGCATCATAAATTCTTATGTCAGGGATAAACAGTGAAATCCTGGTATTATCTCAAAGAGCTGAGAAGTCTAGGAGAAAATGTCAGGAGAAGAAGACCTTAGTTGTGGAGAAACTATTCATAAGCATGAAAGTCATGTTGACGGTTTTTTTTACATCAAGGGTGTTGTGCATCATAAATTCTTATGTCAGGGATAAACAGCGAAATGCTGGCTTTATCTCAAAGAGCTGAAAAGTCTATGAGAAAATGTCAGGAGAAGAAGACCTTAGTTGTGGAGAAACTATTCCTGGTTCCTCCATCATGACAATGCACCAGCTCATGTATTGCTACTGATTTGTGATTTCAGATTGGGAAATAAGAAAAAGTCTTCCAGAGCCAGGTCAGGTTAGTACGGTGGCTGAGGAAGCACAGTTGTGTTTGTGTTGGCCAAAAACTCACAAATCAGTAGCAAGGCACGAGCTGGCACACTGTCATGATGGAGGAACCAGGAGTTGTTCCTCCACAACTGAGGTCTCTTACTCCTGACATCTTCTCTTAGACATTTCATCACTTCGAGATAATCGCAGCAATTCACCGTTTGCCCTCCAATATAAGAATTCATGATGCACAGCACCCTCAGTCTAAAAGAAAACTGTCAACATGACTTTCATGCTCATGAATATCAGCCATCTCGAATAACATGAGAGAGAGAGGCAGGCACGCACGCACGCACACTCTCTCTCTCTCATGAACAAATAGCTCTAGGGTGATGACTAATCACAGCAGGATGACGTGGCAAAAAGGATGATAATTAGGAAGCAAGCCACTAGGCAGAACAACTTACCTAACACTGCAAAGATGCTGAGTTGGCACGCTACTCAAAAGTTCCAAAATTTTTGAACAGACCACACACATATGAGAGTGACCTTTACAATGGACTTTGTCAGAAACAAATCTGTCATGTACAAACACTATTTCTGTCAATTCATTCATATATATTTCTAAGAACATGAGTTCTTAATGATCACAATAGAAGAATGAGTTATGCGCTTGAAAAAATGTGTTTACTTTATGTTGCCAATGCCTATGATGTGAGGTTCTGTGACCCTGGCAGATTCAACTGAAACTATTTTGTCATCATCCTCTAAACTTAAAGTTTCTTCTTTTTTATTCCACCTTCCTGAACACTTGCGGTAGATATACATCAATAAGAGTGGTACTGGAGTCATAACTGCCGCAGCTACTGGAACAACTGTCAACACAAAATAATTTTACTGTAGTGAAATCTCTGAACTTTATATTTTTCCTTCCTATACTTCAGCCTCATAAAAAAGATAAAGTTCCATAAAAAGGTGACAGATATATAAATGAATAGCCAGTAGCAGCTGCCATGCCTTACCTATTAGGCCTACTACTACTACTACTACTACTACTACTACTACTACTACTACTACTACTACTACTACTACTACTATCATCTCCACCTGACTGAAGTGATTACTTTAATCTTGAAGCTCTAGCTGCTTTCTCTCTACCTCCAAGGTGTGCTGGTGGGCTTGTTTCAAACACTGAGTTATAGAAATTGTTTTGAACATTTATATTCTGGGCTACAATGCCAGTAACTGTTCCTTCAAAACACTGGTAGCAACCTGCGAGATTACTACATCATCTTAACCCAGAAGACCATAAACCAGACTTTCACTGCAGTGAAAATATCACATCTCTTGTGTTCATACATGATTTAACTACTCTGAAATTTCAGGAAGTTATTTTGATAAAAGATATTAAACCACGTAGTAAGATACAGTAAAACTTGGTTATAGCAACATCAGTTTCTGCGACACCTTGTCTATTGCGTCAAATTTTCAATGGTACGAACTAATTCCTCATAAAGCAACTGTTTTTATACCTTGCTTAGTACGGCATGCACAAATGCATCAACCTCGTATGTAACGTCATTTTCATTCCTGAATTTCTCTGATATCGTGGGAAAGTTTGATGTGTCTGCCCACCCTCACTTTCTCTACTTGCTGACGTGACTGTCCTGGAAGAATACGACCGCGGGCTGCAAGAGGAGCGTGGGTTTTATGCGAAAACAAGGGTGTGGGGTGGGACTGCGTGAATAGTGCAAGAGGATGCGGCAGGTTTTTAACTGCATTCCTTTCCTAGAATCTCGTCTAACAGGACCTCACATTGTCTACTTACCCTATGGTGTTCCTGCCTAAACCCAGAGAAGTGCTGTAGCGAAAACATGGCAATGAAAAGGAAAGTTTTAAGCATTGAAGAGAAAGTTAAAGTGATTCGTGAAATAGAAAATGGAAGGAAAAAAGCTGATGTATGCCGCAAATTTGGTTTGGTGAATTCTACAGTACAAACGATATGGAGAATCCATATTAGTTTTATGTTAATGTTACATTAGTCTGTACTTAACTACGTATTTCACTAAAAAATGCAACATTTTAACTCGGTTTTTGGTAGAATTTACGTGACTAACATAAGGCTACTGTGGAAGTGCCCATTTCAGTTACAACGACATTCTTTTATAACGACACTATTTTTAGGTCCCTTTGATGACGTTATAACCAAGTTCTACTGTATGTGCACTAACATAGTTCTGCCAATTCAGTAGGAAACAGCTGTGTGTATTCATTTACTCTCAAACAAAGGTGTGTTCTATACTGTCATAATGTTTTTATTATCTGACACAACTTATCATTAATGTTATATCTAATTACCAGTGAACAGTAGCATAAACGTATGTGATTACTTTCAGTAACCTGAATGGTATGGTCTTCTGGGTCATAATATCGTGAAGTCTGGTAGAAGTTCACCAAAAGTTTGGAGAAATGTACTGCCTTTAGCAATAGGTTGAAGAGTATGCCACACAAGAAACCAAAAGAAAGCAGGTGGCAAGTAGAACTTGCTTCTTCCAAAATGTCAGTTGACTTCTAATAGACTACACAGTGTTGTAACCCAGAAGATTGTCCTATTCATACTCACTACTGTGAGAACCTCAAATGTAACAGCTAACCTGTGGTAAGGTCTGCCTCAGGCTGTTCAAGAGAGAATCGAAGCAAGAAAATAGCAATTCCAGTATTCTGGATCCCGGTTTCTATTGCAATAGCAAGTGCATCACTTGGTGGCTGTTTAAATACATTAGCAGCCATCCAGCCACAGACATATCCAAGCCATGGTAAACCCAAACCAGCCACTAATATCTGGAAAACAAATGCATGAACTGTCAAATAAAAGTATAGTAATATATACTGTCAAAAGTGTTCTTTATTATGGAATACTGTATTCTGCTCTGTATGTATGTTAGTAATAAAGGGGATTTTGACAATATATGTTGTTATAGTTGTATCTCACAATTATAGAGATCTTGACTTGAACTGGTGAGAAACTCAGTTTTAACATTAATGCTTGATTTCATTTGTTCAACATGAGTATAATGTCTCAAGTGGTGTACAGATTTTTTCCCCTGCATGTACAAAAGCATATGACAGTAAGTATTGTTCAGAGTGGCATATGATTTGGTTAAATGCATGTGATTTTCTTCTTCTTACACTAAAAATTCTGTCAGGTTACAAACTGACTGAATTTGTTACATCTGCATTATCAAGTAAGGTGGACAACTGGATGAAACAGATAAAATTTCTGAACACAGGTCAATAGAGTGGATCAAAAATGCTTTTGTAAGGCATAATGATTGTGCACTATGCTGTAAGAATGAATTCTGTAACACGAGTTCACTCATTCAATTGTAGATACTTAACACATTGCGGACCGGAGGGGCCATATGGCCCTCTACGTTTCCAAGCGTTGCGGACAGGTCGGGCCATATGGCCCTCTACGGTCACGTTATGTTGCAAAACGCTATATATCGCTGTGTGGCTTCGTTGAATCATAACTACTGCGTAGATGACCTCGGGAATGATTGCTGCCTTATCTAGTAACTCGACCAGAGTCATTTCCTGTCACAACCTAAACAAAATTGGCTTTGTTCTAATCCAAGCTTGCATGTATGAACCACGCAGCTACCAGTTCAACATGGCTCAGATGAAAGCAGTTGCGATCTCTCGGAGGACAGGAAATATTAGATATGTTCTCTGATGAGCTATCAGATTTGCCAACTGCTTTGTCTTCTGATAGCAAGGCCATTATCAGTGACGGTGACAGTGACGGGGGCCACAGGGCTGCCCAAAATGTGTCAAGTGAAAGTGAAAGTGAAAGCTCTGTTGAAAGTGCGAGTGTCAGGACAGCCACATGGGATAAAGTGGACAAAACCCCCACTTTGGTACAATTAGGGTGAACAGAGGCCTCCATCCAGATCTGAAAGAGGAATGTAAACGCCTGAAACATGGCGACACCGCATTCAGGAGGAAGGGGGACATTCTTCTTCAGTCCTGGAGGGATACTCGTGTTGTGAATATGGTTTCCACTATTCACAATTCGAGCATGGTCGATGTTCAAAGACGACATGGGCAAGTAAAGAAGCCTCTTTGTATTTCCGAGTATAATATGTTCATGAAAGGAATTGATAGGGCCAACCAGTTCTTGGCCTATTATTCCCTTCCTAGGAAAACAGTAAAATGGACGAAGAAAGTGCACTGTGGCTTATAAACTGAGCAATTTTCAATTCATTTACGATTTTCAAAAAGGTGAACAGAAATTCTACTTTGAAATACAAAGCATTTCTGTTGAAACTGGCAAAAGTTTGGGCTACTGACGTCATGGTGGCGGCAGTACCTGCGTCAGACATAGACGTAGTGCAGCCGGGGCCATCTGTTCGCACCCGCCGGAGGCCTGAAGTAGACCCCCCTGGCCGACTCTCGGGTGATATGCGGAAACATATTCTCGTGAAAATTGTGAAGAGTGAATATTGCAAGAAGAAACACCCTTCTAGGCAGTGCCGTGTGTGCGCAAAGCACAAGAAGAAGAGTAGAACTGCCTACATGTGCAACTTCTGCGTAATGCCTCTTCATAAAGGGGAATGTTTCCAGAGATATCACATGTGCAAGCACTTCTAGGAGCTCTGGTAAGTGTTCTCCAAAAATTTCAGTTCATAAAATTAATTAGGAGATTTTATATTAACTTTAAAGTGAACAGTGCACAAGTTAGGGTAGTAGGTTTAAAAACGCCGGTCCCCAGGGTGATTTAAATGTTTAAACCACCGGTCCGCAATGTGTTAAATAAATATACGTACTCACAACTGGGTAAAGATTTTAGTCTCCAAACAATATGCAAATTTTCATTAAAAGTCACTAACGAAGTCTAAATGTGACTAAGCAGCCAAATCACTAAGAACTGGATCACAGGGCTCAAATATCAGCAGGGTATATATATAGGTTGGATGAAAAGTAGTGGCAGCACCTCTATAGTTCTGAAATTACTTTATTACCTAAGGTAAACACACTTACATTCCTTCAACATAATCCTCCCCATGTATACCACCTTCTGCCAAATTTGTGGAAGGTGTTGTACACCATCAGTGCATCCACTTATGTTGATTTCCAGCAGTGACCGCCCTACAGCACGAATAATCTCCTTTTGTGTTGTAATGTAACCCTTGCAGTGGTGCTTTCATTTTGGCAAAGATATCATAATTGCACGGACTCATATCGGGTGAGTACGGTGGATGTTGCAGTATCTCCCATCGCCAGCAGCGAAGGAGATCCTTGACAGTGTCAACAGTATGAGCCCTTGCATTGTCATGAAGGATGATGGGGTTCGTTGCCAACAAGTGTCGTCGCTTTCTCCTGAGTGCTGGACAAAGATGATTACACAGGAAACTGCAGTAGACAACGCTACCTGTCTGTCGTTGAGGTACAGTGTGGTGCAGTATCACTCCATCAGTGTCATATGCCACAATGAACATTGCCTTCACATTACTCTGTGTAGGGCGTGTTTTCTTTGGATGAGGAGAGCCAGGATGCTTCCATTCATTTGATTGTTGCTTTAAGTGTGGTTTGTATGAGTGAGCAAGATAGTCGTCACCTTCCTTCTGGTACCGGTCCAACGAGTCCTGTGCAACTGCATAATGTTGCCATTGTTGCACCTTTGACACTGTATGGGGTACCCAACGCACTGTAATTTTGCGGTATCCAAGAATACTGTGCAGAATGTGGTGCACGGTTTTGTGACATACCTCAGCAGCTAACTCCCATAAAGCCCATCGACGATCGACATCCAGCAATGAAGCAAGAAGCTGTAGTGTGGTTGTCAACATGGGGTCATCCTGAACAATGGCTGTCCTGAATGGAATCCCTCCCTTCACAGAACAATTTCACCCACTGTGCCACTGTGTGACATGGCAAAGCAGCATCACCACATGCTTTCGCAGTCCCTGATAACAGTTTTGTGCACTATGACCTCGTGCAACTTCAATTGTTATCCAGGAGTGTTGTTCTGGTTTTGTAAACATGTTCTTAGGGCGCTTGAACTGGGCTCCTGCACTTCAAGACAAGACACGATGAAACTCAATTAAACACAACCAGAGCCACTCACTGCACTACTTCAACTGAACTTCTGCTATCAGGTACAGATGGCGCTACTGCCACCTGATGCACATTTCATGTTACAGTAGTGTTGCCACTACTTTTTATCCAACCCTTGTATTTCTCCTTTGGTATGTCCAGAATGAATCTGAGTGCCATCTACCTTTCTACCTGGTAACAGGAGCTTCTTTCACTCGGGTAAGGTAACTGCTGGGCCGCGCTATCGCTGAAGTGGTTAGTCATTGGCTTCCCTCCGTGGTGGCCCAGGTTCGATCCCGGGTCTGGTCAAATAGGATTTGTGGTGGACAAAGTGGCGTTGGGGTGGGTTTTCTCCGAGTACTTCGGTTTCCCTTGCCAATCTTCATTCCACCAAATTCTCTATCATCATAATCACCTGGGGCAAGTACAATAGGCCATTCAGTGGCTGCTGTGCCGAGTGGACCCAGCTGGAATCCATCCCCCACTAGCAAATTAAAAAAAAAAAAAGTAACTGCTGAAGAATGAATCTTATCCCAATCTAAAACCAAAGTTGGGAATGCATGGAGTTTTACTCCCAAACTGGCAACACACCTTCACACAGTAGTGCCAAGCCACAGGGGTCTCTTATCAAAATTTACTTCACCAACTGTTCTCCTTTTGATATTCTCCTGGACAGCATGAAGAACAAGTAACTAAACAGTTTGTGAGTTAAATTCTTATGGTAACACGTACCTTTTGGGATGTGATGCCATGTAGTTTGGTAAATAGGTAATGGCATTTCTGAGGAACCTGCTATGAAGACAACAGAGTCCTTCAAAACACCAGTACCTATCTACCAAACTATATGACTTTATGTCCCAGAACACAGTAATCTTCACAGTCATTGTCCTGAGTATCTCAAACCTCATATATTTTATTATACTGTGATAATATTGTTACGTGCTGCCTATGTGCCTTATTGATGTTGTGCATGGCTAAAAGATATAAAACATTTATGATTGCAAGCACCAAAAATTTATCCCAAAAGATCATAGGCAACACAGATCAATGTCAATTAAAAAAAATGTGTCTGCCATGCTGAAAGCTGGCAGGAAAAGGACTTTTCAAGAGTGATCATATAGGACGATGTCCTCAATCCTATCACTGTCAACCTGATGGAATATGATTCAGATTCTTCAAATTGGAATGAAGATGACCATGACCAATACACGAGCATGCACACACACAGACTCAGAGTGAAACTTCACTAATTTGGACAACTGTTTCTTTGTGCATTACAACTCATGCATGCATGACAATGACACTGTTGCTATATAAGATATATTTAAGACAAATACATTTATTTCATGACATACAATTTAAGTTTAAAAATAGAGTCCTTTTGCCTAAAAAGATACATGAAGTCCATTTTGTAACTTCCCTGAACATATTTTCAGTAGCAGTTCTATACTTTGGACTTTCACTGATTTACAGAAAGGTTTACTCTCAATTAGCTCAAATTTGTGAGGTCTTAGTGTATATATAAATAAAGCTTGTGTGACAATGTTGTTCTAAGATACAAAATTCTTTATTGGGATCTGTTGCAACACAACAATGGAACAGTCTAGGTCAATATCACCTTAGCTACATGTTTCGGCCTTTAAAGTTATCACCAGGCAAATACATGGTTACTGCAATCACACACTGTTGAACTGCATTTCAATGTGATGGTGCAGTGGAGCTGGATACTTGACAACTATGTTCCCTTATAATAATACAAGGTATAAAAATACAAGAAAATTATAAAATTGTTATAAAACGAAAGTTATATAATAAAATACATGGTGTGTTCAAAAAGTATCGAACCTTCTTTTTTCCTGCGTAAACCAATGAAACACGGGAGGCTCCCTTGGGTGCAGATGTGGAGGGGACATTCATGCCCAGTCGTGAATTTTTTCCCGCCCGCAGAAAGCAAGCAAGATTCAACAGGCTTTCAGGGATGATGCCATGAGCAACTCGTGGATAAAGGAGTGGTACAACCGCTTCAAAGATGGCCGCACAGCAGTGGACAGCGAACCGCGTTCAGGCAGACCCTCAACAAGCCGAAATGAGAATGTCATTGAGCGAGTGCAGACTTTGGTCATGGAGGACCGTTGTATCACAGTCCGAGAACTTGCGAACGAGATAGGGGTAAGCATTGGATCAGTACATTCAATTTTGACCGAGGATTTTGGCATGAGGAGAGTGGCAGCTCCATCATGATAATGCACCCACCCAATCTGCCCAACTGATTCAGACTTTCGTCGCCATACACAACACCCCTGTGGTTCGTCAGGCTCCCTACTCCCCTGACATGGCTCCGTGTGACTTTTGGCTATTTCCCAAGCCGATTTGAGTCAAGAGAAGACATCATGTGGAATGTAATGGCCCGGCTGATCACCATTCCAAAAGACGCGTTCCAGAAGTGTTTCCAACAATGGCAGAAGCACTGGGAGAAGTGTGTGCATTACCGAGGAGACTACTATGAAGGGGATTAGGATTTAGTACCTCCAAATCAATAAATGTATTTCTGCCGACCAAAGGTTCGATACTTTTTGAACAACTACGTATAGTTACAAGCTATTCATGTAATGCTTCATACTATGAAGTCAGCTGTTGCGATCTTGTATTGTATTGTATTTTATTATTATAGAATTTCTTTATTAAATCCATCACAACACAACTATATTAAAGCCAGTGCCTAGTTTGGCTCTGCTACATGTTTCGGCCATTAAAAGCAATCATCAGGCAAATACATGGCTAAGATATGTACACCACTGAACTGCAGTACTAATAAAATTGGGTACAATAATATTAATTATATTAAAATACTTGGCGTTGTTTACATTCCCTACAGAACGGACAAGACTTTGTAAGATGAGGCACCGACTAAATAATTAACATTAATATTACTACATCTACATCATGAGCCTCCAAAACAGTTTATTATATATACACAAAATATAGAATATTCCAATTTGTTCATGGGAACAAAACAAAATCACAAAACCAACGAATGATTCGATGATATAAAGCATCACTCGAAGTATGTTATTCTTGTTTTATACTATAACTTCTGTTTCATATAATCTAATTTATTGTATTTTTATGCCAAATATTTTAATATAATTAATATTATTGTATCTAATTTTATTAGTACTGCATTTCAGTGGTGTACATAAGTTAGCTATGTATTTGCCTGATGATGGCTTTTAATAGCCAAAACATGTAGCAGAGCCAAACTAGGCACTGACCTTAATATAGTTGTGTTGTGATGGATTTAATAAAGAAATTGTATATTATAGCATGACAGGATGCATGAAATGAAAATTACTATTATAGTGTAACATAGTTGTCAAGTATCCAGCACCATCACATTGAAATGCAGTTCAACAGTGTGTGAATGCAGTAACCATGTATTTGCCTGGTGATGGCTTTAAAGGCCGAAACATGTAGCTAAGGTCATATTGACCTAGACTGTTTCATTGTGTTGGGATTGGTCCCAATAAACAATTTTATATAACAAACACAACAAGATGCATGCAATGAAAACTGTTCTAAGATTTTCATTTTGTCTTTGAATCTGATTCGTAAATTCTGTAAATGCACAAAATAAATATTATTAGCTCTATGATGACGATGATCTTAAGATATTTTTCCTGTCCTTCCATCTTTGGAAGTTGGTAAGACATCTGACTAGGACATTAATATAGGAATAATGATAATGTAAGAGCACATTCTGAACTGACTGCATGTGTCCAAGCATATATCTTTGTTAATGTCACAACTAAATAGTTCCATCTGTCTTTGCACCACTGCTCACCCATTTATGTGCCAGTTACATATCGCCTGTATGCACATCTCACCTTCCATGTAAATAGTTCAAATAAGTAGAGGTTTGTTACAATTGCGAATATGATGATGAAGAGAATTAGCAGTGCTGAGAATGGCTTCAGAATCCGAACCATAATTTTGGTCATTCGTGGAAGATACTTCTGTATGAAGAAACCCAATGCCAAAGGAATGACAAGACCAAAGGCAAACATAGCGATTCGAGAGTATGGAACTCCCAATCTGTCTTGTTGGAAGATAACTTGGCCCAGCGAGAAGATCCATAATGGCATCATGGCTGTAAACAGAAACAGGCCATATAACTCCCACTGAAGCATAATGTTTATAAGCTGATAACAGTGTTTAAAATCATACGTTTTAGGAACAATTTAAATAGTTTCAGGAAAACATAATAAGGTTTGAAACATGCATTTCCAGTGTCCACATAGGCACTCTCTATTCTAACATAAATTCATAATTGTTTTTGAATTGAGGTTCTCACAATGGTGACTATGAAGCTTATTATCTCTTGGGATGTGATACACTGGCTTCAATTAATTTCTACCAGACTACATGCACCACATCCGACAAGACAGTGCTTCTCAAATTCATAATTTTTTATTCTACACCAACTTGTTCACTACCTAGGTACAGGGCCTGTTGCATCAATCCTAAATATATTCATATCCAATTTGTTAAATTCTGTTCTTCACATCAATGCAAAACATTAGCATTCTATGCCAGAATTCACAGAATGTATGTTAAAAAGATAATACACGCTTTCCTAATATAACTGACAGAATTTAATGAAACATGAACGTTGACATTGCTACTTTAATATTAGGGTCCATTACTGTTGTATTTCCAGCCAATATGAAATAAAATCTGGAATTTAGTTTAACATTTACCAAAGGCAGCAAAGGTGCTAATTGTGGTCATAGTTATGCTGAGATTAAGGTTCCCTCCAAGAATATAGGTCCATATATTGGATGCACCACCCGCAGGGCTGACTCCAGTGAAGAACATACCCAGCTGCATAGGAACTGAATCGTAAAACAACCATTTTCCCAAACCAAAACTGATCTGCAACAAATGAACATCTACTCTATTCAAGAATGAAAAGGCAACTATGTATCTGCTGTATTATTCATCTTCTATTGTGCACACACATTTCAGATCTGACATTACTCAATGGACTTTGATAAAATTTGATACTTTGGGTCTCCACAATAAGCTCAATGAAAGATGTGACTGAAGTCTTCTGTGTTGTGATGCCACGTGGTCGTGTAGGTGGACACAAACATTTGTCTGCACCTTCAGAGGTGACCCTGAAAATGGATAGAGGAAGTTTCTCCTAAACATTGGTCCAGTTACAAGACTACATGGTGCTACAACCTAGAAGATCTCAATCCAAACAAATACTCACCACTATGAAAACCTCAAATATTATAAATTGAAGCTTGGTTCATACTGTCCAATGTAACTTCTTCCTTGCAGGAAACCGAACTGAACTTCAATTTCCTCAAAAATGAAACATTAAATACAAATTGTTTCATGACCAACTAGAGAGCTCTTTAAGGCCTATAACTTATATGTGAATCATTTTTATTATGGTGAATATTTAACAAAATGTAAGGAAATTAATTCAACTCTTATGAAGTGCATCTATGCTGCAATTACTTTTGAACAAGTAAATTTGAATCCAAAATAAATGAACATCAAGCCCATTACACGAGCATAATATGTGAAGTCACAGAGTATGGAGTATGGCCTATATTTCATTTTTTCTTCTAATAACCTTATTAGTATGTAAATTTTGATGTTTTCACAGTGGTGATTGTTCAGATTGTGGACTTCTTATTATGATGTTGTGTAGTCCACATCCTCATGTTCTTCCATTTGACTTGAGTGACCACACTCCTTGCAATCTCTCTTCAACCCTGTGGATGAAGACTACATATTCCTATGAAACTCTGATACTTGCACGCAGCACTACGTGGTGTCACAAATTGAACTTCATAAATTTTTGTATAATTATCCATAACACCACATGATCTGTCCATCTCTGAGCCGATTGTCTAGATCAGCGATGGCCAACTGGCGGCCCGCGGGCCGTGTCCGGCCCGCAACCTGATTTACTCCAGCCCCCCGCC